TTCCAGTGTTTCCATTCATTTCCATCATTATTCTCTTCTTTTTGGCCAGTGGGGAGCTCTTTTTGGATCGACTTCAGAGTCTTTCTGACCTGACCCGAATATTCTTTGAAGATGTTCAAGACTCCTCTTGTGTCTTTCCTCCCCGCAGATCTGGAACCAGCCATTTCTTTAAGGAGCACTTCTTTTCATGGTGTGCGTTTGCATTTGAGACAGTGGAGTATTCCTGTAATGTTGCTGTTTTCTGCTGGGAGTTAGTATGTTTCCGTCATCTTTCCATCATCCTCTTTATTTCTCTTTAACCTGTAGTGTTGAGTCACTCATGGAGAAATGCAGGGTACATCTCTCCTGCTCTGTGTGTGAATGTCGGCGAGGTCTTGGGACTTCTGCTTTCTTAATTCCCAGAAAGCATGAGCCGGGCTTCCCTGGTGGCGCAGTGGTTGAGAGTCCACCTGCCGATGCAGAGTACGTGGGTTCGTGCCCAGGTCCAGGAAGATCCCGCATGCCGCGGAGCGGCTGGGCCCGTGAGCCACGGCCACTGAGCCTGCACGTCCGGAGCCTGTGCTCCGCAACGGGAGAGGCCACAACAGTGAGAGGCCTGCGTACCGCAAAAAACAAAAACAAAAACAAAAACAGAAACCAAAAAGCATGAGCCCTATAGGCCAGTGCTCTGAGTCGGAACCAAGGCTGGCATGTTGTGGGAGGATGAAATGGTATAAATAACTTCCAGGATCACATGAGACCTTGAGAGAGCATCTGGTCACCACTCTGCTTCCAAGGCCAGATCTCGTCAAAGTCAGAAAAAGCACTGTGCCTGACTAATTTTTAAAAATCTTCAGAGTTAGAGTCCACATTTAAGCTCATTAGCAATACGCTATGGTCAACAACAAAATTACTCTATAGCCATTTTAGAGAAAGCTAAATTAAGTGAAGCTTAGCAACAAGTACGAGAACCAATTTTAGGAGCTGACTTAGTTGTTGTTGTTTTTTTTAAACCATAACTTAAAAATAAAAACACAGATGGGTTACAAGAGCTTTTTGTATGCTGACAGGCACTTTCTCCTTGACCTATGAGTTGGGCTAGGACTAAAGGAAAAGCAAGATACCCAAACTCAAATTTCAACCTAAGGGGCTTGAGCTAGTTGGATTTATCTAGTCACCTGGAATTGGTTTTGTTCTTTCTTTGATGTTGGTATATAGTTAAACAAACAGACAAAATTTGCTGACATTCTGTAATCCCATAAAAGCCAAAATATCAAACCTATGGTGGCAAGAAAAGGTGATACCTTAGGTAATGATATTTAATCAAGGGATTATGCATTCTTCCTGGGCTCCAGCCTATAAAATGTCATGTTCTAGTGGGTATAATGTTTCTGTCATAAACACCATACTGCCCAAGAAGGCCTAGCCAGGGAAGAAATTTTTGAAAACAAATACTCGTTCCCAAAGTACTAAATACAGAGTAAAGCCTAATGAGAGTTTAATTTTCAGACCAAGTGATGGCATCTAAGAGCTTAGTTATGAGTGTTCAGTAGTTTTCAAGAGGTGTCACTCCTCTAGGTCATGTCCTGATGCTCACGTGTGTGTGCACACATGCGTTCCTGCACTTTTCTCCCTTCCATGCATGACAGGAGTCCTCATTTTTGGCCAGGTCCCCAAAGCTACAGCAGAGAGTCATGTTGTTTTAAGGTTCCTGTGGGTCAGTGTTTTTTAGGACACATATCTTTGTGGCCTTAAAATGCCAGAACTCATTCATTCTTTTCTTCCGCTTCCCACACATTCTTGACCTCGAGGGTAGCCTCACTTCCCACAGGGGCCATTGTACCAGCATCAGGCCCCCATGTGACTGGATCAAGATGCACAGAGTGAATTAGATGCTTCGAAAGGGGAAGGAAGCAATACTTCGGGAAAAGGTTGATAAACCAAACAGTGCTAAATGTTTAGGAAGGGAAGAGGAACAGATTCCATTTTAATTTCAAATGATTGAGAGTGAGCGAAAAGCAAACCACATTGAAGTGATAGGGGAAGAATAATAATTTCTTACACTGATTAATTTTTGATGTTTACAAAGTGAACATATATCCTATTTAACATGTGATGCTCCTGGCTGCCAGATTTGTAGGCCAGACAGGTATTGGGATCCCATTTTAATGATTCTGAGACTGAGTTCAGAGCAGTTAAGTGACTCCTGGTAGAGCCAGTATTAGAATGCAAATCTGTGATTAAAAGCCAACTTAAGGTCTATACCTACCACATGTGGGGCAGGGTACTGGAGACTCAGAGTTAAATAGGAACAGTTTCCTACCCTTGAGGAACAATCTAGCTGTATATGTGTACTCAGAGGCTCATCACTGCAGATTTGTTTTGTATTAATTTTTATTGGAGTATAGTTGCTTTACAATGTTGTGTTAGTTTCTGCTGTACAGCAAAGTGAATCAGCTATATGTATACATATATTCCCACTGTTTTGGATTTCCTTCCCATTTAGGTCACCACAGCATTGAGTAGAGTTCCCTGTGCTATACAGTAGGTTCTCATTAGTTATCTATTTTATACATAGTAGTGTATATATGTCAATCCCAATCTCCCAATTCATCCCATCCCCCCCTTCCCCCCTTGGTATTCATACATTTGTTCTTTACGTCTGTGAAAATGATACAGATCACTGCAGATTTTTTGTTCTTCCCCTGTGACAGATCTGCCAGATCACCCCTTTACCCTCAGGGGACCCACTCATGCTCTTGCTGAGGTCATCTGACCTCAAGCTTTCACTACCAGGCCCTGTTCTACTGTGTATCGGTTGGTGCTACTCTAGATTTGCTTTTCATTTTGGAAATAGATGCCAATTTATTGTATTTTATTTTCTAGCTCTATAATTTCCATTGGTTGGTTTCGTTGCTATTTTCTATTTTTTCATTTATTTCAATGAAATCTTTTTCTTCCCTTCATTGAGCTTAGTTGCAACGTACCCTTTAAAATCCTTATCTGCTAATTCCAACATCCGGGTCATCTTGGGATTGGTTTCCATGGATTGTCCTTTTCTCTTGAGGCTGGGTCACACTTTCCTGATTCTCTTTATATCGAATGATTTTGAATTGTCTGCTGGACATTATCCTACTGTAAAGACTCAAGATTTTGTTTTATTTCTCCAAAGAATGTTGGTGTTTTTGCTTTAGCAGGCAGTTAATTTGGTTGAACTCAAACTGCAAACGTTTCCTCTTGAGCAAGAAGTTCAAATAACACTTCCGTTCTTTTAACACCTTATTGACCCGGGGATTTTTGCAGAAACTAACACCTGTGGCCAAAATACATCTCCAGTCAAAAATGTGTTAACTCTAGCAGAGCTGCTTCCATCTTCCTTGAGTGTGCAGGTTCTAGAGTCAACCCAAGCCTGGGGCAGAATTTCCACTGGAATTTGGCGCTCTCTCTATCCCTCTCTGAATTTTTCTTTTCTGGGATTTTCTCCTCACTTTCCAGTGATTGTAGTTGCCCTGAACCCTGTCCTCTGGTTCTTCAGGCAATAGAGACTATGGGTTTTCTATCTGCGTTTCAACCATCTTTTGTGGCACTGACTTTGGCCTTCTCTCAAGCTGAAAGCCACTGAAAACAAGAAACCCATCGGTTGCCATCCTTTCTTTGAAGATCCATCCCTCCCCTCCCTCACATGACCCTGTGAACCTAAATAACTTCAGGTCATTGATTTGGGGGAGGAAAGGGATCCAGAGTTTGTAATTTATTGTAATTTTTGTCTAGGGTCTGGTAGGACCTTACAGAAGCAGAACTATCTCTTTTATTGCATTATGCCTCTCTGTGTAAGGTTTTTTTTGCAGGAAGGTTCCACTACTGAAAAATAAAACTGAAAGCTTAAAAATCACCCAATTTCCAGCCAGTTTTCATTCCTCTAACATCACTTCTGAGTGACGTGTGTATCCAGCCTTTGTGGCCAATGCCTCCAGCGATAGAAACCTCATCCTTTTCCCCCTGTGGTTTCTCTCCCCGCTCCTCAGCTTGCCAAGGCCCAGCAAAGGCTCTCTGTCTGAGTCTCCTCAGTGACAGAATGTTAGCAAAGCTCCTAGGAAGGAAAAGCTGGTTGAGTTCCAGCAGCTAAGTGCTGCATTTCTTTGATGAACATTTCAAATGGATGTTTTTGGTGGAGGAGGGTAATAAAAGAAGGACGTTTGCAACTGACCTCTGGTTGATACTCAAAAGAGCCTGGTTGGCCTGGCATCTGCCTGCATGCATGTGGCATTTTGGAACTGAGCTGAGGAAGGCCCCTGGCCTAGGACGTCTGCTCCCCTGGCCCACTAAGGAAGGAGACAGGAAGATGACGGTGTGGTAGGTACCTTGTGGTTACATTAGACGATAACCTGAGACTGTGGCTTGGACCCAAATATGATGAGAGATTTGGGACATTCTACCGTGTAAACAAACTAAAGCTAGTAAAGGAAAGCTACTGTCACATGGATAACGGTCATGGAAATGGGTGCCCTCGGTCCTACTCAAGTTCATCTGTAGCTCCGTAACCTTTAAGATGTTCCATCAACTTTCTATGTGGATTTTTCCACAAGGAAGAATGGATTTCAAGGGGTGGCCACAAGCTAAATGGAGAAAATGTATACATGCAGACATACGGACGAAAGAGAAGTCACATAGCCTGGGAGTGATTTGTTTATATAGACAGTGGCTCGTATAGAAAAGAAGTTACGGCTCTTTTCTTTCACATCACGCCCTCAGCCTTTCCTGATGTCTGCAGATCTCTGAAAGTGTATCGTTCACCTCATATCTCTGAGGAGCAGAGTTTGAAAAGGGTTTGCTGTGCCAGAACAAAATGTGGTACTCTGCTTCGAGTTAGCTAATTCCATGATAAAGTCTGTGATCCCCTTGTGTATCACCTGCTCTTTACCACCCACTCTCCCAGGAAGAAAACAAAAAGCAAAAGTAAAGTGTACTCTCTCCTTGTCTCTTTTGCCTTTTTAATTCGTTTTAAAATTTTTACTTTTCAGAGTCAGAAGCAACAAATGATACTCTGGGTCCCCGGACATTTTTTCTCAGGAATCCCAATGATATATTTGAACCAATCCCACTGAAGGAGGATGAGGACCAAAATGAAAGTGAATTCACAGAAGACAGATTAAGCTCCGGCAATAGAAGCAGTCCTCCTCAAAAATTACCCACCGTGTTCATCTCAAAAGATGCCTCAGGATATCTGACCAGCACCTGGTTGACTGTCTTTATCCCCTCCGTCTACACCGGCGTGTTCCTCGTAAGCCTTCCTCTGAACATCATGGCCATCATCGTGTTCACCTTGAAGATGAAGATCAAGAAGCCCGCCGTGGTGTACATGCTGCACCTGGCCATGGCAGACGTGCTCTTTGTGTCTGTGCTCCCATTTAAGATCAGCTACTACTTTTCCGGAAGTGACTGGAGATTTGGGTCTGCCATGTGCCGCTTCATCACCGCTGCGTTCTACTGTAACATGTATGCCTCTATCATGCTCATGACGGTCATCAGCATTGACCGGTTCCTGGCTGTGGTATACCCCATGCAGTCGCTCTCCTGGCGTACTCTGGGGAGGGCTTCCTTTACCTGTCTGGCCATCTGGGCCATGGCCATCGCGGGGGTGGTACCTCTGCTCCTCAAGGAGCAGACCACCCGGGTCCCGGGGCTCAACATAACCACCTGTCACGATGTGCTCAACCAAACGCTGCTCGAAGGCTACTACTACTCATATTACTTCTCGGCCTTCTCTGCCGTCTTCTTTTTTGTGCCGTTGATCATTTCCACAGTCTGTTACGTGTCTATCATCCGATCTCTTAGCTCTTCCGCGGTTGCCAACCAGAGCAAGAAGTCCCGGGCTTTGTTCTTGTCAGCTGCTGTTTTCTGCATCTTCGTCCTTTGCTTTGGACCCACAAATGTCCTGCTGATTCTACATTACGCATTCCTTTCCCATAATTCCATGACAGAGGCTGCCTACTTTGCCTACCTCCTGTGTGTCTGTGTCAGCAGCATAAGCTGTTGCGTTGACCCCTTGATTTACTACTATGCTTCCTCTGAGTGCCAGAGGTACCTCTACAGTATCTTATGTTGCAAAGAAAGTTCAGATCCCAGCAGTTATAACAGCAGCGGTCAGTTGATGGCAAGTAAAATGGACACCTGCTCTAGTAACCTGAATAGCAGCGTGTACAAAAAGCTGTTAACTTAGGGAGAGGGACCGACAGTGAGTTAAAAAGAAAATGTTAAAAAAGCAAATAACCTGAGGATTCTACTTAGTCCCTGACAAAAAGTATTTACCATCTAAAACAACAGATGTATGATTTACATGCCTCCTTATGAGAGCCATTAAGCATATATATTTGTTAGTTACAGGAATAGAAAACAATGTCATTACAAGAGAGTGTTACAACAAGAACTGAAATGTCGCTTTTTTCATAAATTTACCTGATTTATTTTAGATATATGTGTGTGTATATGTGTATTTATACACATATACTTGTATCATTTGCAGTGCCATATAGAATAGGCACTTTGAAACCCTCTCATTTTTTTACCAGAGATTATGGAAGTGAACTCTGATTCTCTGATTTCATATGCAAAGTTTAGGTTGGAGTTTAGCCCTGAACATCTGCAGAAGTCCATCAGTAGTGAGGGAGTCTACAGTTTGGACTTACACAACTTTTGCCAATAAGTGTTTTGAAATTGTCCAACAGCAATGTTTTTTTTGTTTTTTTTTTTTGTTTTTTTTTTTTTGCTGTAGGCGGGCCTCTCACTGTTGTGGCCTCTCCCATTGTGGAGCACAGGCTCCGGACGCGCAGGCCCAGCGGCCACGGCTCACGGGCCCAGCCGCTCTGCGGCATGTGGGATCTTCCCGGACCGGGGCACGAACCCGTGTCCCCTGCATCGGCAGGCGGACTCTCAACCACTGCGCCACCAGGGAAGCCCCAACAGCAGTGTTTAAGTTATTGAGGGATGAGACTTTGTACTATCTGTGTGTAGAGAAAGTTCTGCTGTTTTTCATGTTAAACGTATCAAAGTTTGAATTCTAAAAATTATTAAAACAGATAACATGGGTAGCATTTTTTGCTGTTTTACACGCCGTGTGTGTAAACTAAGAATGAGCAGAGGTCCCACCAGTGACCTGAGCACCCTGCCCCCAGATGAAGGACTCCAAGCAGTAGATACAAGACAGGGCCAGTTCAGAGAGATCAGGACCAGCACGTTTGCTGTCTCCCGCTGGGATTCCCTCGAGGATTGGCCGTGCGCTTATCATGTTTATTAGAAGTTGGCGAGGTACGATGTGCTATCCCAAGAGATAATGGATATAAAAGACTGCCCATTTTAAGAATGGAGAAAGAAGGCACGTTCACTTCTAGCAGTTATGCTGCAAGGACCATTCCCAGGTGGAAACACCTATATAGCAAACATGGACACCCATCGTGTGCTCTAAGCACTCTAATGGGTGCTGGGCAAATAGAGTTGAGTCAGACTGAAACCTGCTCTCAGGAATAACAAAGTGGGCTGATACACAGAGTGGGACGTGTGAAAGAAACACATCATTAGGTAAAGAAGTGCTTTTAGCCAGATGTCACCAAGCAAGTTCCACATAATCCTGGCAGGTAAAGAACTTTGAACATTTGGGTTAGTTCTTCCTGTGGTTATAACTTGAGATAAACATAATACAGTACAGGAAGCTTGTTTTTAAAAATAACTCCTTCAGTAACAGAATATGAAATGTTTTATTACAGTGTTATTCAAGCAAGATAAAAATTATAAATTCTGTATGTAATATGATCGCCAATCTGTGTATCAACATGAAAACAAAGTTTTACATAAAAGAGATTGAAAAAAATAAACCAAAATGACAACTAAGGATAAAAAAAGATTAAGTCCTTCAGTCTGTCTTAATTGGACCCTATTTACAAATGTTTCGTTCAATAAATTACTCAAGTCAGATTTTTAAAACATTAATTACGTTAGTCGGATTAGAAATGGCAGAAGAAAATGGAATTGACTTTGAAATCCAGGAAAATTATTCTCTATTTTCCATTCACTTAAGAGTTAATGAGATGATTTTACAAGCTATGATGAGTATCAAGTACAGAATATCCTCATGTATTTGAGAAAATAATTTGAAAATTAGGTTGAATTATATCTTTTTTTCCTTATGAAGCAATGTTGGCGTTTTAAACAAACAAAAAGAGTAGGAAGTTGCAAGCCAAGTACCTACCTATTTAAAAGAACAAATTGTTTCCAAATGCCATAGAACGATTTACATAAAAGTATGTCTTGTAAGTAGAAGCTAACATTGTTTTTATTAATTTAGTTACGATATTCATTTTATCCAACTTAGTGGAGATATACTGTCATTGTTCATTCATTCTGTTTATATTAAAATACCTCTGACTCAATAAGACTCATTACTGTATTATCAGTATGTACTTATAAAATATTACATCACTGTTTTTATGTTCTTTTTTTTAAAAAAATGTATGTAACCTCTATTAATAAACCTGAAAGTTTGCTTGATATCTGTTTGGAATAAGATTTTATTGTATCTTTAGAGCCTGTCAGGAAGGCCAGTCTAAGGATTTAGCTGAACAGTGGTTAATGAAGAGGTGATTTGCAGAGGCATGGCCAGGGTTAAGGGAACCAACAAGAGCTGCTGAAGCACCCCAGGGACTAGCAATTAGGGAAAGCTGTTACCACCCCAGGCCTAAAATGAGTGGAGGAGGGAATACACAGACCTCCTCTCCCCCGACCCTCTGATCTCTTGCTGATGCCTCCCCATTGCTCCTGATTTTAACTTACCCCCAGAGGTCAAGGGAACCTGGGTGATGGAGCCCATAAAGGTCAGCTTCTTGGGGTGCAGAGAATGAAACTCGAAGAAAAAAAAAGCACAATCTCTACCAAAAGCATTGGGTGATTAGATTTCTGTGTCTTTTTTTTAAAATCTGTTCTTAGGAAAATTCAAGGTTATGTCACTGAGAACATGCTCAGATTCCTGGGTTATGAGCATCGTGGATAGAGTCTGCAGTTGTTTTTTTTGTTTGTTTTTTATTGGAGAGTAGTTGATTTACAATGTTGTGTTTGTTTCAGGTGTACAGCACAGTGAATCAGTTATACATATATATATATCTAATCTTTATTTATTTTTAAATTTTTTTGGCCACACTGTGCGGCACGGGGGATCCTTAGTTCCCCGACCAGGGCCTGAACCTGTGCCCACTGCAGTGGAAGCCCACAGTCTTAACTGCTGGACTGCCAGGGAAGTTCCTATCTTTTTTAGATTCTTTTCCCATATAGGGCATTACAGAGTATTGAGTAGAGTTCCCTGTGCTATACAGTAGGTCCTTATTAGTTACCTTTTTTT